TAACAGACATTTTTTATAAGCCAAATGGGTCTCTCTGTAATGAACTTCACTTTTGATTCATTTTTTTATAATTAATTTCTCTCTATTTAATAATAACGAACATCTTATTAAACACTCTCTATAATGAATAAAAGCAATAAAGTTCGTTATAGAGTGAACTGTATAAATAAACTTATCCAAATCTTATATAGTAAAAATAAATAAATAGTTCTAATATGATTGAAACTATAAAAATATTCAGGAAACACTTGGCAAAAGGTTTTATATGAATATATTAATATATATAAAAAATACATCAAAAATGTTCCTTTGCTATGGATCTTGACGCATGTCTCCAAGATTGATCACTTTTAGTTTCTCGTGGCTTCAAATCACTCTCAGGATATTCTTGAGCAAGTGAAGTAAATAAACATGGTAAAGTACCGGAAGTCGGCTTTGATGTTTCATTCACTAGAATTAGGAAAAAAGCTAACTTCTTGGTACGTAAACCCGTATGAATTGATAGACGAGGGGTCGAGTTTTTCCAGAATCAATTTCCAAATTTGGAAATCTCTTGACAATATTAATATTAATATTAATATTAAATGTTCATCATACGAAATAGCAATGCTTATTATAAATAACAAAAATTTTTACTTATTAAAAAACAAGGACAAGACTTTTTGTTCGGTATAACGGAAATCCATTATAACAAGACATCGGGTCCTGTCATATGATTATTAATTTGACTAATCAATGAATAAAACAAAATTTTAATGAAAAGTTCAGCTCAGATTTTTAAAAAAAATGCATCAAAAAGAATTAAGGAATGATGTAACGGTAATTAGTAACATTCCATTTTTATATATGTGCACGAAATTCTTTATATGAGTTTAATATAAAACTGCATTATAAAATTCAAAGTAAATGTCAATCGCCGATATAAATCTTTACTATATATGCTATAAGTTTGTTTAAACGTAATTAATTTATTTTTCTAAAATGGAATTTTTAATAAAAACATTTTAAATTTCGCGTAACTTTTAATATTAAACATAATGGCCCCTCCTAATTTGGTATGTAGCACCGAATATTTGAATATTCGAATAATCGAACACGAACGAAATAATAATAATAATAATAAATATCCATAATAATAATAATAATAATAACTGAATAAAGTTAATGATTGGCAAATTTTTTGACTTGTAATAGGCGATCTGCACTTATTATACATTCGTCTGAATGAATAATCTATTATATATAATAAAAAATAATAATAATAATTTTGACCAATTGTAGAATTGATTACTACCCCTGAATTATAAATTTGTCAAATAAAATTATTATTATATATAAATGCAATATAATTTTGAAGAAAAAAATTTTTTTGAACAATAAAAATATTATGGAACCAATAACAAATAATTATACAACAGTTGCGGCCTCTAATGAACAAGCATTTTCACAACATGGAACTTCATCAGAATCCTCAATGTTTAAAAATAATAACGACAACAATAACAATAACGGTAATGGTGATTCAGCAGCACAAAAGATAACTGCAGTAGAAGATTCCATTGATTCTTCATCAGCAACAATAAACATTGATGAAAATAATCTTGAAACTGTTGAAGAGGATCCATTTCTATTGGTTTCACTTAGAAAAACTGCCGCACCTATTAAACCTAAATGTGTCAATATATTATATTTATTTGCCATACTTGATTTATCTCTGGTATCTTTATATATGATCTATTCACTTATTAAACATAATGGTGATCTAAAATCATATCAATGGGGCCTAGTAATATTATGTTTCATTAGATTTATAACAGTTATGTGCATTGCATCATCAAACAAGATAAGAGAATTACGTTCGATATTGGCAGGTGTATGCTGTGTAAGTGATGTTAATTCATGAATATATTATATAATTAATTTATTAATTTAATAATTTTTTTAACAATAATTTTTTCTTTTTGAACAGTTTTCTTCATTGTATATAATATTTAAGGTAAATTATTTAATCCAATTGAAGAGGAACTTTGGAACAATGCAAATAATATTTTTGATTTTATCGTTTGCATTAAGCCAAATACACTGGATTGCCTATGTTATTGTAACAACTGACAGTAAGCGTAGGGCTGAATTGTTAAAATATAATAATATATATTTTGAAGAAGATGTCAATGTCATTAATGACAACAATGACAATATTAATAATGGGGGTGACAACAACAACAACAACGACAACAATGATGTTGATAACAATGAAACGGAAAATTTAACCAAACCACAACCTTCTTATGGTTCAATTAAAAATGCCAATTTAAATTAAATCCATGTGCTTTTGTAATATTAAAGTATGGAATAACGCAGGCTGTACAATAGACAAGTTTACGTGTTCGTATAATCACTTAATTGTGCATTTGAGATTCAAGAAGTGTGCTGTACACAATTTTCGTGCACATAATGTATTAACGATCAATTTTATTAATTATAAATTTCAGGAAATGTATAACATGTAAATATCTTTTTTAATTTTTTTAATTATTTAATAAATTATTTATTTAATTACAAACAAAACAAAAAAGAATTTTTACGTAAATATTACTACCATTAGCGAAATTTTACCATCAATCCCATTTTCTTTTCAACTAACTAATGAGACAACTTGGGTCCACATGTAAAGTTCTTGACTATTTAAATCACCATTAACAATCATTAATAAAATTTTAACCTGGTTATTTTTCTTTATCAATGGTATTTCATATAGTTTGTCTACAATAAAATTTATTCCATAGTAAATTTATCTACTTGATTAGATGGTAAAGATTATGTGATAATGACGAATCACAATCAAAATTGATTTCTTTAGATTTTTGATTCTATCATAAAATAAAAGTACATTATGATTGTCCTTTATTGACAAAACCGTCATGATTATCGATATAAATGGTAATGACAATGATGGTGAGTAGTATAATAAATAAAGGTTGTTTGAGTTGGTAGGGAAGAAGATTCTTTGTTGTATCATCTAAAGATTATACTCAAAATGATAGATAATATTATCATATATAACAGTAAGAACACTCTCAATTTCAAAATCTTTTTATCCATGCATCGAAAAATTATTTTTTAAGAAAATTTATATTACAAAATCAAGGTATTTATTAACTTTACTTATATGTAAGGTTCTCTGTTACTATACAATCTTTCCCCAATTCTAATTTTGTAATATTTACTACACAAAATACTTTATCATCATCATTTTATCAATTATTCTTTCCCTTTTCCCTTGTAAAGATATAATACATAATTGATTGATGTAAAGAGAACGTGTAGTTGTAATTAATTAATTAATTAATAATTTTTATCTGAACACAAATGTAACTAAGAAATTCAATGAATCTATAATTTAATCAAAGATATTTATTTGTATTACTTTAAAATAGTTTTTATTTGGAATTTTGCATTTTTTAACATTACAGTCAGACTCCTATATAGTCACATCCTATATAGTCACAACATAGTATAGTCACATTTTTTTGTTAATTTGAAAAATTCCCTGCTACTAATTAATCATAGTAAAAACATGTCCTGTATAGTAACAAACACTTAGTCACCAAAATTCTTGAAATTTCACTATGGTCCCGAGGTGTGTACTTAATCTTCTAATCAAATTTGTAAAGCAAGCTAAAGTTGTGATAATGTGTAAAGCTTTTGCTATATTTTTTTATTTTCAAAAAAATGATCTGCTATCTAATAGTAACCAACCATCAACTAACTATTATTGCTACTCCTCATGGGCAGTCGATCAAAAAGATAAATTTCAACGAGTTATTTCTTGACTTTTTAAATAATTTTTTTAATATTAACTTTTCTTATCAAAAATAAGGGTCTAAATTTTTCACGTGATATTTTCTTAAATTTTATTGGCTGAAACATTTGGTTTCTTTAAATTTATTGACTGAAATATGTAAATGTGATAAACTTTAAAACTCCCACGCCTTTGTGTCGCCGATGGCTTTTTGCTGTAACAGAAACGCAGGGTTTTTGGTCTAACCAGAGTTGGGAATCTAAGCCTTGTCTGCTGTAAATGACAATCGAAGTGTCACGCGACCGTTTACACAACATATAAAACAATGTCACATTAATATCCTTATTTGGAATGATAAAGATGAACACATGTAAAGAAAGGATCATTCATTCATTGATTCTTTTTGGGATCAAAAATGAATGCACATTTGGATGGAAATTACCGAGTAAATTTCTCTTCATTTGATAAGGTTTTTCCAGGACCATCAACCAACCACCAACCATCCAACCAACCGTCCGTCCCAACAAATATATCTTTAATAATAATAATAATGAAGCCAAATCTTGATGAAGATGATATCTTAATGTTGTTATTTTTGGTTCTAAAAAAAAGGCTTTCTATGATATCTAAAATTTTTTCTTTATTTGTTAAAATTTAAATTAATAAATATGATGATGATAAAAAAGGAAATTTGCAAAATTTTATGAGTGGTTGGAGTTATCTTATCTTTTCAAAAAATTGATCGGTAAAAAATAAACAAATATTTAGAATTTTTATTTATTTTGGGTAGAGATAAGGAATATTCGTCGTAACCTATATATATATAATCAATCACATTATATTTTTTTAGATAAGTTTTAAAAACCCCTTTTTTCTTTTCTTTTAATTTTTACTATTTAATTCATTCATTTTGATAATTAATATCTACATATATATATAAATCAATAATAGTAATAAAGATTTCCGAGATAGAGATCATCAATAAATTTTTCACAAAAACTTTCTCTTCCTCTTCCTCCTCTTCTTCCTCGCCAACAACGAATGTATGATTTCTTTGATTATTATTAATTTTGGTGGAATAAATTAAATGATTTGTCTTCTTGATTGAAAAACAAATATTTTCAACCTTTTTTTTTTTTTATAAAGCTTTTTTTCACGAACGGAATATATCAATACACAATATATATATATTTTAAACATGGAAGATTGGTTAACTATAACGTGCATAATAATTTGTATATTATGTTTTCAAAATATTTATGTACAAGTGAAACGACAAGGTTCAGTGCTTGTAATATACAGCGTAACAAGTTCGTTGTTAAGTTTGTCTTTTGTATTGGCTGGAATATTCCTACCAACAAAATTTAAAATAGAAGATGCAACCAAAACACAATTTACGTGGTGCGGAATAAGCGGTATATTATTTTCCATCAGTTCAGTGGCAAATTACGGAATGGCGTTGGCTCTGTCCGTTGAACTTTACGTATCATTACGAGTCACCAATCCAGCCGCACGTAAAGAACCGTTGATACAAAGGTTAAATTTTGTACTGGCATATATATTACCATCACTGTCTATACTACTAAGTATTATAGTGTTGTTGGCGTATGATGATAACGTATTCGAGACAATTGATGCGGGTGGAATATGTGAAGTGTCAAGACATGGTAAAAATTTACTTGCATTATTTTTCTTAAGGACATTGACCGAATACCTAGCAATCTTTCCATCGTGTGTATTATCGGTATTATCATTAATACCAGTGGCCAAGGTTGTGTTTAAAAATCGTAAATTGCAATTTAGTATGACTGGACCATGTTCGATATCCAAAGAATCAACAAAACCAAACACCACCATTACCACAAGAGCAGGTCCACCGCCAAATTCATCAACATCAGCAAATCACAAATACCTTCTACCGCGTAATGTTCTTATACGGATGGGGTTATGGTGCAGTTTATTGATTCTGTTGGGAATACCGACATCGGTGATTGTGCTATACCGAAACATAAAAAACCTAACAGATCCGACCAATACCGATTTATCATTTTATCTTTCGCCTGGTCAAACTGATTTCTTGGCAATTTATGGATTCACCTTGCACATGGTATTATCAAATGGGTTGTTCTTATTATGTTTTGGTACCGGAAAATTTGCTAATGAACAATATCGAATTCTTTGGACTACAATATTACAAAAAATATTTTTTTGTTGTCGACCAAAATCACGTATTCCAAGTTCACAAATTGAATTTGATATGATCGATCACACAGCAAGTCATAATCATAATAATCACAATCACGATCGTAATCAAAATATGAGCACATCAACATTTTCAAAAGGACATTCGATCATCTCATTACCTGAAGTAGCCGCAGCTTATGGAGCTAATACAACATCGTCAGGATCCATAATAATAAACACGATTGCTAGGACAATGACAGTCAACTCAAATTCTTCATCACTTCGTATAAAAGGAGGAGGAGGAGGTGTTGATTCTGGGAGAGAATACAATAACAATACGATTAATAATAATGATAGTCTTAATGCTGTTAGTAGCATTGGTAGCAATGACAATAATCATATTAATATTAATATCAATAACAATCATAGTAATAATGGTAATGATAATTCATAATGAAAATAATAACAAATGATACCATCGAATCGACATGATAGGCATAAATGATGTTGATCTGAATCATCTCTATCAGAGGGCTAATACCTGAACTAATCCAGGTCAGCTCCAACTTCAGAGACAATTTATTTATTAGTATTTTTATATATATTTTATATTTAGTTGAACAATCATTCACGTACATATTTATTTATTCATTTATCGATTCATTCATCAAGAATAACCAAATACTTGTCATCCCCTAACATCAAAATATTTTTTTTTGAAAAGAAAAAATAATTCCATTTGTTTATTTGTTTATTCATTTTACTCTTTTTTATTTTAATAGCAATAATTTTTGTTTTCACTTTCTTTTAATCTAAGTTTTTCATTTTTTCAATTGTAAATATGTTTTTTCATTGTACTATTTATATAAATTATTATTTCGAGTGTGCATAATTAAGTAATTGAATATATATATTCTTGTAATTTTAAATAATCTAATAATAATTTCAAAATTAAATTAAATTAATTAGATTTATTATATAAACCCAATTTTGAATCTAAACCAAATTTGGCAATAATTAAATAAAATTCCAATAATTTCTAACTATTCAAGTTCCGGACTCTTTGTAAAAATAAATAAAATCTATCTATATAATGAAACAAAGAGAAGACGATATACGTACCTTACATACACGCACATTTTCAACATAAAGTTATATATACACAATCTACACTGGTGAATGTAAATTCGGATATTTTTTTCTATTTTCGATTATTATAAATTAAAAAATTCCATCATAGAAATCAAGGTTAGCGCGCCTATGATAGAGTCAAATAAAAGTATTAATTTTAATTATATTAATTATTATGATTATATAATAATAATAATGCGCTTTAATAATTATTTATATAAATATATGATATTAAACGAATCTAGTCTTAGTCTTTTTTTTTCTATTTATTTTTTTTTAATTTTTTTCTTTTAAAATTTTCTTTCCCTCTCACCTCGTTTCATTCTGAATGATTTATTTCGGATGGAATCCATAAAATACATTCACCAACAAACCATACCCCTATATTATCCATCATTATATATCGCCACTACCAAATTTACTTTCTTCTTTCTTCTTTATCATTAATTTCATCATCGTTACTAATTAAAAAATAAAAAAAGCAAAAATAAAAAATTCAACGAGTAAAAATTATAAATATTATTTTGTGAAAAAGAAAATGTCAGTTTTTAAAAAAATTAATTTACAAGCCTTGACGGCCGTTGATGGTTTCATAATATTTATAATTTTTTTCTTTCTTACTATTATTATTAATATTAATACCATAAATGCTTATCCAATAAGCGATAATAATAACAACAATACCGATGAATTTAAAGGTAACGAAAGATAAAAATCAATTAATTAAATTTTATGCTTAATAATAATAATAATAATAATAATGACAAAAAAAAAAAACTTTTCTTATACATAACAGAAAAAATATCTTCTTATTTATTAACAATAAACAACAAAATTTCATCATCGAAATCAAAAAATCAAAAATCAATCTTATTATCAAATCTAATTGAAAAAAGACAAGATCGTGAAAAGGTTGATAACACAAATGATGATGGAGATGGCACAGAAAATAGAACGACAAGAATCGTAATAATCGTAATAGTTTTAATAGTTTTATTTTTTGCAGGTTTAGGACTTTGTATATATTTGAGCGTGACAAGAATTAAAAAACGTGATAATGATAAAAGAACAAACATCGTCAACAACAGAGATTTTGATAATGATGAAAGTACAAACATCATTAACAACAGAGATTTTGATAATGACAAAATAACAAACAGCGGCAACAACGGAAATTTTGATAATGATAATATTGACATTGATAATAATGATGATGATGGTGTTGTAGAAAAAAGTAGGATGAGCGGGATAAGTGTTGATGCGAATAATCATCGTTACAATCGTTATAAAGAAAAAATCAAAAAGCTCAACAAATCACTATCATCAACAACACCACCACCATCACCACCATCACAACAACAATATATTAACAATATCACATCACCTTTAAGAACCGTTAATCCTCCTCAGACAACTAATAATAATAATCGTAATGTTAATAATATCATCGATGATATTGTTACTCCAGAAATTAAACCACTACCACCAACACCATCTCCAAAATCAAAATCAAAACCCGCAAAAAAAACATCATCGTTATCGTCACTATCATCATTAACATTAGCATCTAAAAAATTTATATCGTCCATGTCGTCGTCGAAACCTTTACCATCTTCTCCAGTTGCCACCAATACTAATGTTAACACTGCTGCTAATTACGATGAGAATGTTAATAATACGACATTAACAACAACAGAATCATCAATAACATCTTCACAACCAATACCGATTAGGGTGACAAAAAGGAAACAAATACCACCACCTCCAATACCACCACCTTCGATACCACCACCTTCAATACCACCACCTTCAATACCTATACCACCTTCAATACCACCACCTTCGATACCACCACCTTCGATACCACCACCTTCGATACCACCACCTTCAATACCACCACCTTCGATACCTATACCACCTCCACCTTTGTCATCATTTAGAAAATTGCCAAATAACAGTGATAGTTATAAAAGATACATGTATGGTCTAGGATTTAACACAATGAGTTCAGGAGCAAATTTATCACATATGTCATTAAATCGAGGATTTAATAATTATTATTATAGAAAAAGTGATACGAGTGGTGTTAGTGGTGTTGATGAAATTATTATAAATGAAAATTCAATAATAATTGACGATGAAAGGAATTATTTAAGTGAAATCTATAATCAACATAGTAGTATCAATAGTAATACTATTATTATTAATCATTATAATAACAATAGCAATAATTATAATGCTATTAATCATAATAAATATAGTAATAGTAGTCTTAATAGTAATCAGAGTTACATTAAAAGTTGGTTAGATAGCCCGACAATACCTTTAACACCAACCAAAGATTGCTCTTCAATGCATTCAACTTCAACTTTTCTTTATCATCATAATGGCTCAAAAACTAATCTTAGTAATAGTATGTTAGCAAGTCCAAATTCACTTTTAAAAAATAAATCTTCTTTTACAAGTTCATTATTCGAAAATTATCATTATTATCATCCACAACATAGTCTTGATTATATTAATTATTATAATGATGAACAATATTATCCTGATAGTAAACAATCTTCAATATTAAGTTCTGAATTGTATGCACCACTATTCATTAATAATAGATTAACTGCAATGTATAAAGCAAAAAAAAATAAGTCAATGTCAGATTGTGATTGTTATGATTATTGTGATTGTGAAAGAGGAGAGGATTTTATTTATGTGCAAATAGAAGGAAACGGTGTTGTGGAAAATGGGAATAATAATGATGACGACGACGTTAAAAGAGAAGAAAATATTAATAATGATGGATGCAGTGAATCAAAAGAATCAACAAATAATGATTTAGTAATTACTGATGATGATGATGGTGGTGATGATGATGATGATGATGATGATGATGATGATGATGATGATGATGATGATGATGGTGATGATGGTGATGGTGATGATGATGATGATGGTGGTGGTGATGATGGTGGTGATTGTGATTATTTGGAAATTATTGATGATGTGAATGATGATGATGACTATGATGGAGAGGAAGTTGATGAACAGAATACATTTTATGATAAAACTAGATCAAGAATAATTTTTAATGAAGCTTTTGGGTCAACGGTCTTCGAATTGATTACAAAAAACAGTCTTGAAACTCATCATGAAAATCAAAAAACATTGGGAAATACAATATAAATCAATAATCAAGAAATAACCATTAATAGTGGTGGTAGTGATTTTTGATAAAATATGTATTTATTTTTTTTTTTTATTTTTTCCTTCTTTGTTAAATAATTTTGTGTCTTTGATAATAAAAAAAAACCCATTTTTTATTTTTATGATCCAAGCCTTTTTTGGTTATTAAATAAAATTATTATGCTTTTTACTGCTTGCTTTATTTATCATTATTTGTTTAAAAAATCCCGATCGTTGACATTATTTGATTTTCGAAAAAAAGATTTTCAAATTACGTACTATGATACAGGCATTGATAATTCCCATAAAAATATAAATAAAATGTGATTGGTATTTAATGTCTTGGAAATTCTATTTTAGTATTTAATTATGAAATTGCAAAAATGACAGTTCACAATTATGAAACATGACATAATTGTCGAGTATTCCAATGCAAAAGACTAAAAATCAAAGAATTTATTAGAAGATAATAAAATAAATAATATAAATAAATATTTATTATCTGTTCAGAGAATTCTTACATTATCATCATTATATATATATCAATATAATTATATACCTTCACCAGTACTATTATTAGTGTCCATTGTTTGGTCCCCATATAATAAATAATAGCGTTACATTTTTATTATTTTTAATCACCAATAAAATCTCCTTTTCACCATCTTTAAATTTGCGATTTTTATAGAAAATTCAAAGTTCATACAAAAGCATATTAATTATATGAAAAAGTTTCCTACTGCTACTGTTAATATTAATACTACCGCGATTACTAATACTAATAATACTACTACTTGGATGATAGGAAATAACCAATTGATTGAAGTATAAATATTACACGATATTTACGATATTTATTTTTCTATAAAAAATTAAAATTTGTATTAATTAATTGTTATTTTTTAATTTTTTTTGGGTTCTACCCTTTATTTATTTATTTATTTTAATTTTTATTTTATTTTATTAAAAAAAATAAACAAAAACATGTCGTGTAAAGATTATCAAAAATCCCAATTTGATGTTGTGTTTGTTGATCAAATATATTAAAAGTAAATTTATATGTATTAATTATGCAATCATACTTTACAGTTTTTAATGTAATGTGAAGTTTCATAAATAATAATCTTTTCTCAAAAAAAAAAAGATATATTTATTATTATTATTTATTTATTTATTTTTAATTTTCCTTCATTTATTAAAGACTGTGTCTTTTTCTCTTCCTTCTTCACTTATTCCATTTCAACTTACTCCATTCCATTCAACCATTTTTTACATAATCTCACAATTTCACACTTCCTTCGCTTATATCCATTTTATATTAACAGTTGGTTAATTAGATAGGTAGATAGATAATTTCTAGTTGGAATTTATCATCTATTTTATATTTATTTACATATATATATTCATTCTTATATATGTATATGTACGTACACATTTATTAAAATAAAAAATATAACGTATTTATCTTTCTTAAAAAACCAATTATTCCAAAAAAAAAATCTCTCATTTTTCTTTAGACTGACCTAATGTTTTATTTGAAAACAAATTATATAGAATATAATATTAATACTACGACAACAACTAGTAATAATAATAACAATAGAAATAGTAATCTATTTTAGGTAACTATTCTTGAAGAAAAACAAATATTAAAGGAAAAAAGAGATTTAAAAAAGATTTAAAATTTTTTTAAATTAATTGACAATAATATGTTATCAGTAAATAATAATAATAATAATATTAATATTAAAAATAATAATATCAATAATAATAGTAATAGTAATAGTAATAATAATAATAATAATAATAATAATAATAATAATAATAATAATAATAATAATAATAATAATAATAAATTATTATCAATAGTAAATACACCACCATCACCAACACAAACAAAATCGATTAAAAGGTATAATCATCGTAATTATAATCCAAAAGTAGAAGAAATAATACATTCAACAAAAAAACCGATCAATACTACCAAAACATCACTGTCTCCAACACCTAAATCTATTAAAACATCTTATGATCCAAAAATACAAAAAGAGTCACCATCATCATCATCAAAAACTGACCCAGATAATAACGGTACAACCATAACAAAAACCACAACCACAACAACAGTTACAACGGTGACTACTACTATATCAGCTAACAACTCACCTGGTCAAGGTCCTTTATACCTTGATTTTGGTGATTTCACCTTAACTCCAATTGATACTGAAAACATGAATAACAACAACAATAGTAATAGCTCTAATGATAATAATAATAATAATAATAATAATAATGGTTCAAGGAGTTCAATTTCTTCATTTCAACAAAAACTAATTAAAAGATCATCTGCTAATAATAATGAAAATAGTAAATCAAAAATTGCAGCATTAACAAATCAATCACGTCACAAGTCCATTACTAAAGGAATATCATCATCGTCGTCGTCGTCGTCATCATCATCATCATCACCGCCTACTTCACCATCATCATCAACTACCACCTCAAGAAAGAATAATTCCATTAGCAACGACGACAGCAGCGATGATCGCATTCCTCCATCATTATTAAATAAATTTGGTAGAAACAAAAATCCTCTACTGAACAATTATCCGTACTCAGAAGGTTATGATCCTTTGAATCCAAGAAAACATATTAAACGTATAGAATCTGCTCCTGTAATCCCACAAATATCAATAGATGAAGATGATGCCGGTCTTTTCAAATCTTCAATTTATCCTACGAAATCTTTGTCAAATATAAATATGGGTCACAAAAATAATCCTTCAAATAATGATCATAATAATAGTAGTGAAACTCCGAAACAATATCTTGAAAGAATGAAAGAAACCCTTTCAAAATCAAAATTAGCAACTATGTTGGCAAAAAGGTATTTATTTAATTATCATTTAGTCATCAATTATTTATTTAATCATATTTATTTATAATTTTTTTTTTAGACCTGACGAATTCCATCAATCCGTATTGAATGCTTATATGGAAGCTTTTGAGTTTACAAATGATCCTATTGATCTTGCTCTACGGTAATTGTTAATTCTTATTTTTCTCCATAATAATTATTATATTAATAATTGTTATATTAATAATTTTCAAAAAAAATTTTTAACGATAGAAAATTCCTTATGGAGTGTTATCTCCCAAAAGAAACACAACAAATTGACCGTGTGATGGAAGCTTTTGCAAAAAGATATCATGAAAATAATCCTGAACTGTTTCCATCCTCTGGTTGGTATTTTATTACTATTACTGTTAACTACTATATAACAATAAATATTAAGCACAAATATAAAATGTCATTTTTTATCAATAGATACACCTTATATTCTTGCATTTTCATTATTAATGCTCCACACTGATGCATTCAACAAAAGTGTAAAGCGTAAAATGACAAAAGAAGATTTTATAAAAAATACAAGGATTGACGGTGTTGCTCCAGAAATTTTAGAGGTATATATAAATCCCCACATTGAATTATCTCGATTGATTAAATTAATTAAGTCAATTTTTTTTAATAATGAATAATGATATTAGATACTTTATGATAATGTCACCTTTACACAATTTATTTATGCTGATGACGATACTGATGTAAATGGTCAGACAATGATCGAATCACCACCAGACAATCGTCAATTGAGGTTGTTTAGTTCATCGAAAGAACGAAGAAAATCAATGCGTTCCAGAAATGACCCATATTATGTTATACAATTTGTATGTGTAGTTACGATGGCTATATTATTAATTGTTTGTTTTATTTTATTTTTTTTTTTAAAGCAAGCAAATTATTAATCCAATCCTACATCAATATATATATATATAGAAAATTCCTACCGAGTTTAAACCATCTATTCATACACTCGTTCCAGTTGAAAATCCTTATTCATACATGGGAACCCTACCTTCAATGGACACTACACATATCCATCGTGCATTTGCTAGTGCACACGCAATAAGAATCACCGGCGTACAAACCCGTCATAACGGTGAAACTTTCAATCACGCAAATACTTTACATCAATTAGAGGAAGAAAATGGGACTTTTGTTCTCAAAATAACTAAAGGTGGTAAATTAGGTAGGAAGGTTGATATGGTCGATGGTAGGAAAAAAAGTGGTATAAGAAATTGGAAACAATATGGTGTTATTTTAAGTGGGAGTCAATTGATGTTCTTTAAAGATGAAGCTTGGTTTAATATTAAAATGGCAGAATTAAGCGACCCCGTGGTATTTATTGATTTATTTTTTAACAAATTATCTATAAATATATATATTCTTTTGATAGTAATAATAATAATTAATTATTATTTATATATATTATAATAGAAATCTACACAAATACCTATTCTAAGGCCAGACGTGATACTTATGACAGCAGAATCTGTTGCAGTGTATGATAAAACATATAAAAAATATCCAAATGTATTTCGACTAGTATGTCCAAAAGGTCATCAATATCTATTTCAAGCAGAGAATGAATCGGAAATGAATGATTGGATAACAAAAATAAATTATGCTGCGACATTTAAATCAATTGGTTTGAAAATGAGACATGTTAAAAATTCATCATTATCGTCATCAACGTCATCAGATAAAAACAAAAATATGAAAAAAAGTCATCCCCCATATCTTAGAAATCTAGTTAATAAAGATGACGGAGCTAATGATGCACACAGCAGGGCTAATGTTCTAAGGGTATCTATTGTTATTTCTATTATTATTAATTTATTATATTTATAATTTATAATTTATAACCAAATTTATTATAAATCTATTATTATTAGTCAAAGATTGACGAACTTCAAGGTAAAATTTCCACACTTACATCTCAACTTCAGAATGACGTAAGGTTCAGGAATAATTTGTTTATAATGATGCCATATAAAACATCTACACGAGATCGTATTATTCAACTTGCTTTGATGGTAGCACACCGTATTAAACACACCTGTTTGGAACTTAGTAGGTTGGTATGTTATCATGAAATTCTGGAAAAAGATTTATGTGCAACTGTCATGGAAGATGATTATTATTGGCTGAATAGAAAAAGTATGCATAGACTTGGTGGTGAATCAAAAGATAACGATAATGATATTAATATTAATAAAAAAGTTATATCAGCAACAAAATCAACATTTGATGATTTTATCAACAACAACAAAAACAACGACATTAATTTTGCTGATATAATTAATAATAATAATAATAACGACAATGAAAATGATGATATTACTTTTAACAATTACAATGATTTTAGTAATTTCAATAATTATAATAATTATGATGATGATAGTTTTAATAATAACATAATAATAAATAGTAATAATCATCATCTTTCTGAAGATATACCATTCATCACCGAGAAAACCAAAAAATCAGCAACAATGACGCTTGTCCCAATGTCATCAACATCTTCATTATCCACGATGGCATGTTCAAGCCCTGTAACATCAATAGCAGATTCAATTCAATCCAGTCCACCAAATTCAATAGGTAATGTTTACTTGCATCCATCAGATATTGAATTAGAAATTGTTAAGGATGACGATAATAATAGCGATAGTAATAGCAAATATCCAAATAATTTTGAGGAAAAATCTAGTTTTAGAGATGATGCTTCAAGTATTTTAAGTATGGAATTTGAAGATGCAAAAGAACAAATTGAAAATACAATACTTTTTAATTCGTCATCGTTTTCATCATCATCAATTATTCCAATATCATCTACAAGTATAAATACAAATAATAATATCATTGATGATAATAATGATAATGATGATGGCAGTGATGATGATGATGATGACGATGACGTTTTTGTTGATGCAGAAGAATGGTAACAAATTTTATTCAACAAAAAAACAATATTAAAAGAGAAGTTTTATTTATTTAATATTATTTAAAAATAATAATTATTATTATTAATGTAAATTTAATATTTTTTGCGGTTTTTTTTTAAAAAACAGTTTAGAAAATTTCTTGGGTTGGGTTTTATGTATAATTTGTATTTGTATCTGTATTTGTATTTGTATTTCTATTTTATGCATGTGTGTAGTAATGGCAATTATCATAATTCAATTGTATTTTTAGTTCAACAAATTTTTTTACACTTTTAACTTCACGTTTAATTTTTGTAAAATTAAAAAAATAATTTAAATGATGTTATAATAAAAAACCAAAAAAAAAAAAAAAATTTCCCAACACGATTTTCTGAGAGTTACTATTTATAGCTAGCGTCCAGTTTTATACGACGAAACTTATCTTCACATAGAAATCAAGGTTGAAAGCGCGCACTAATTTTTCTGAGATTTTATGGTACATGCATGTGCAGTAGTGACCATTGATGATAGTATTAAGACCGTAATATGTTTACAAAAAAGGAGGGAAATGTTCGAGGCGAAGTGTCACGTTGTTTAATATGTTGCTAGTCGAGAGGCACTGTTTATTGTTGACACCGGTTTGAAATCGACACCAATAGTAAGAATTTTCTGCATCTTTCCAAGCCATAGCACCATCAAATGAAATATGTATCTAATATGTCAATATCCTCGGCACTGTCATATACAGAATCAACCACTTTCAATTCATAGTGTAAGTACTCATGTTGCTTTCTAAATCCTTTTACAATATAATTTTGCAACCACCATTTTTATTCTTTTAATAAAACTAGAATGGTGAGTTGTGAACGAATAATCATCACCGCCATTTTTTTTAATACCTGGAAAGGTTCTTTAGGAATTCCAATCAGTCCATTTAGGGCTTGGAGTTAAGGTTTATTTTTGTTGGACCGGTTCGAGTTCGGATTCTAAATAGACAACCGAATTACAATCGGATTGAGTCGGATTTAGTATTAGTATTAGTATTATTATTAGAGTTTTTTATATAATCTATGGAAAAATACAAATAATAAAAATATATAAAGCAACAAAACTTCAGTAATGAAAATGAAACGTGCCTCAAAGATTGAATTCGGATGGAATTTGTCGCAATTTGTTGGTCAACATCTCTATTTATATGTTTATGTAGTGATTTATTAACTATTCGATCAATTTGGCCACTGAATAGTTATTTTATGAAAATTACGTCATTGCACAGCTAGAGTGCTTTGCATCCCAACTATTCAAAATTATTTTCTTTATGCATAATATTCTCATTCTTTTTATTTCATTCGTTTTAATTTCAAGTATTTTAATTAAAATAAATGAAGTAATAATATCTTTAAAAATCACGTGCCCGTAAAACTTTATTGCACTTTTAATTGGAATTTTTCTCAAAATGGCGCAAAAAGTTGCGGGGAATAAGTGAGCGTCTTGCGCTATATTAATACCATTAGTATCACCGTCATTATTATCAGACATTTTGGGTGTGAAGTTATAACGAGCTATATGATTTTCCTTAGTTATAATAAATACATGATTTGTACTATTTAATTTTAATTCTTTACGCGTGTAATGGAGCCATCTCGATCGCCAATATTTTAATTCGATTATCCGAGTGTTAACTTCTATTGACCGATTACCAAAATATTCTATTAAATCAATGGGTAAAGACCAGAATCCTTGTCGTTATTATCAAAGAGCACATATTGTTTAATTGCAAGTTTCATTAATATTTTTAAACGTTTGAATTAAAACAACCATTACAAATATTTGCTAATTTGAACCAGAAGAAACAACACAAAATAAAACCTCGAACTAATTGCCAAGTAAATATATTAATATTAATGGAATCTGTATGTAGCCTTTAAGGCATTTAAGTTTTTTGTTTTTGCAATTTTATGATTTTAGAAATTATTCACTTGAAAGAAGCACATATTATTTTGTATGATTATTCCTTTCCAGTTTTATTTAAACATCCACAACTCCAGAAGGAACATGTTTTCCAACTTTTGAGGTTGCAATTCATTATTGTTCTGAATACGGTCGGTTTAATGGATTTGATGATTAGAAAAAAAAAGACGGAGAAAAGTAGTAAAGGTGAGAATTATTTATAGATGCTTAAATTGTGAATATTCTGGAAAACTTTTAGACAATGAAAACAATTCAACAATTTACATAATCATCATTTGCACCACAATTTTGTAGCTTAAGTGATGAGATCAAACAAGATATTTGGCATTATGTTAAATCATTAAAATGCAAATAGAAAATAATTATATTACAAATTTCCCGAATAAATTATTTGAAGAACAGAGAGAAGGAACAATGCATCCGTAGGTTAATCCTGCAACATTTGGGTTAAGATGTATATTTTGGATGACAAATGAAGAATATTTACTATGCTTATGTTATAGTGATGTTATATTAATGACAACACAGCATTAACAAAATTTAATTGAAAAAAAGTCATTAGTTTTGGTTAAGTCAAATGATAATAGTGATAACAAAAGAAATATATTTGGGGTAACTGTGGATGATTTAATCATAATGTCCTAACAGTATATGATTTTCAAAAATCCTTCTTTGCTTGGGGATGGGGTGTGGAATGTTATTTAGAAAGAGTATTTTCAATTATATAGACGGCATATGTTAAGTTTGTTGTAATAATTATTTTTTGTATATTGCTATTGTTATTTAATAAATTGTGTATATTTAATGGGTTTTTTTTTGTCATGTTAAGTAATTTTATTAATAATAGAAACATAATACAAGTTTTGTTTCAATGAAATGATTGGATATATAAGATTGAAATGAGATTATTGATGAATTTTTACATGTTTAACAAGATTTTAAAAAATCCGTTGAAATGTTGAAGTTTGTTGAAATGAGGGTTTGACTGTACATATTGTAAAATGTTACAAAATCAATTTACAACCTATTTAACTCATCTCTATTTAATATATTTGAAATATTAGGATGTAGAATTACCATTGGAAAAGCTCCACCTAAAGCGGGTGATTCAATAATTATACAATTAGGATTAACACTTTATGTCTTTGAGTTAAAAGATATCAATGGAATATCATGACTAAGAATAAACATTATTTCCATTGCTGCTATTCGAATAGAAACTTAGTTGCAGCGAACAGTGTTCGCCGCGCTTTGGATTTCGTGTAACCCGTTAACACTTCGCTATTACACAAGAAGTACAAGATAATATTGCTATTTAACGGCATATCACCGTTAGAAGGTTAATTCGCCGTCAAATGGCTACTAATTAATTAAATTGCATATAAGAAGCTTGAGATCAATATACTTTCAAAATAACTTTGTGGTAACCATAAAACCAGCTCACTAGTGATATCATTTTCTTTAATTGGTAATCTACACAAATTACTTGGAGGAAAAAGAATTGCTGCAAAAAATTTCTACTAATGAAAAACAAAACCTAGAAGGAAAATAATAGAAGCAATCAGCAATCGATAAAAAAAATGGAGAAGGAGAATGATATAGAAGATGAAGAAGATGAAGAAGAAGATACTAAGATTAGCAATATTAGTAATAATAGAATAGATCAGAATGATCAAAGAATAGTAATACTTGTCAATGATTTCCATGCAATTGTCTAACGATTTTTATCTTATATTTTTTTTAACATTTATATATAGTGTGTTGCAATTATATATACAAAATAGAGCAAGAAAATACTCGAGCCATTAAAATATTTTTATTATGCTGCTAAAACATACTTAATTTAAGTAGAAATTATAACATAGGTGGATTGGTGGTGTAACTTGTGTAAAAAAGTTATAAACATTCGTAAAAAAAAAAAAGTCAAAATCATTAAATCCGAAGAAAATCATTTATTTATGATTCTATTATTAACCCCAACCGGTTAACGGTATCAACCTCTAATTTAAAGAATATTGAGTTGATCTATGATAAATTAGGATTATTATCGATTATTATATATTTTGCATCAATTATTTAATTGAATTAATTGAATTATATTAAATATGAATCACTAGCTTTTTTTATATTCTAAATAAATATATAAATATATTTTAAATTTTATTCAAGTGGATAAGCATAAAACTCAAATTGAACATCTTTACTAGTAAGATTCTTGTAAACAGCTTTAAAAGTGTCGATCTTATGCTCCAATGATTGATCTTTGCTATCAAGGCGTCTGTAAATTATAAAAAACTTTGTGAAAAATAATATCAAAAAAAATTATTGAAATAAAAATAGCAAGACACATTACACTCTAATGACTTTGCTGCCATCTGTCTTAACACGTGTTCTTTTCCCAATAATTTCTATCGGGTATACCAAGTCCTCCAAATATTTTTCATGTACTGAGGTAAGAGTACGTGATCGAGGACGTAATTGTTTAACACGAGATCTATGGCCTGGTTTAGGTAGAATTCTTCTATCTGCAATAAACATAACGTGACTATCTGAAAATTTTTTTTCTAATTCACGTGTGAGCCTTTTATAATAAACAAATAAATAAAAAATAGATATTGCTAAATAAATTATTGTAGAAATATAATAATAATAAATTGATAATAATGAAGGTAGAAACATACTTTGGTTGAATGTTATGAAATTGTTTTAAAAGTGGAACTGGAACAAAAATCACAATAGCTTTTTTTCCTTCGCCTAATTCATACTTGATTAATAAGTATCAATATTTTTTTTTTTAATAATCCATTAAAAAAATTGAATTAACAAATATAAATTTATTTAGATTCAAAAAAAATTTTTCAATTTTTTTTTGTGAACTCACCTCTTTGGCATCAGTGATTTGTAAAGGTTTTAATTCTTTTTTTAAATCTACAACTGTAGTCTCTAAATCACAAAGAGCTTGTGCAATTTGCTTTGCTGTTTCATTACTGGTAAGCTGTCCAGCTCTTTTGGCGATTTTCTTATCAGACATTTTTAAAAAAAATAAAAAAAAATCGATCTTCGTTGCACAACCTGACAATTTTTATTTAATCTTTTCATTTTGAATTGACACTTTGTATTTGATTTTGATCTTACTGCAAATGTTAATTATCGAGCTTATAATTTTTAATTAAGATGTATATAACAAATTAATAGTTAGAGTGAACCAGGAAGATGTTTATTACCAAAGAGTTTAGCAGAACAAATGTCACTCAGGATTTTCGTTTATTGTTGGTTGACTAATGAAAATTCATCAAATCGATTCCATTAATTAACGTAATAAATACCATTGAATTAGATTGAATAGGAACTCTATTTTTGTTAGATAGGTAAAATAATTCATCTAAAGTTGTTATCAAATAATTATTAGTGATATTAAACTAGATTATTATTAAATTTGGCAAAGTATTATTTAACACAGCAAACAAACATTTCAGTAGCAGTGGAAGAAGAAACAGATATACTTTTGTCTAAAAAAATTGGATAATTGATTTTTTTAATTGGAAAGGATAAAACATACATACATACTACATAATACAAAATCGAATATATGTTTGCCCGTTGAAGACTTTTGTGACATTTTTCAATAAAACGAAACATGTTTCTATAATGAATATCATACTGCCGAGAGCCATACTCCCATTGCATGTAAAAAAAAAACAAATGTTTACTAGTACTATAACCCTTTATTTTGATAATAGGTTTAAAAGTTAGCGAATGTATAATAAAATTAAATTAAATCGGCAAATGTTTGATTTCAATTATTGGTAGATTTAGTAGGAGGCATGCTTCGAAGGGTTCAACAAAATACCGAATAAATTATTATGTACAATATGTTCATAAATGGTTTTTACTATTTTTTTACGTTCTGTAACAAATATTTGATCAATCTTTATAAACATTGTGGTTTAATATTTTTATTGGTACCCAAGTTGTGTTAAAACGTGGCATCTTTAATTTGACTCAATGAGCTTTGAAACGTAAAAAAATTTATTTTCGCAGATCATCATTGAAAAAAAAAATAAAATGATAATAAATAACGATCATAATAACCATCACAAAAAATCATCAACGACGGCGACAACAACAACAACAACAACAACATTAGCATCAACCTCCAGTAATAGTAATAGCACCAAAAGAAATGCATTATTATTGATAGGGTTATTATTTCATATAACCTATATATGGAGCATATTTGATATTTACTTCACCTCACCTTTAGTACATGGAATGACTCAATATAAGGTACTACTCTCTTTCCAATTGATTGATTCCTAATTAATTTACTGGTAATAACAAAGATTACAACAGTCTCAATTATTATTTATTATATTAGGTTGATTTACCACCACCAGCTAAAAGATTAGTATTATTTGTAGGTGCGCAATTATAGATTTATACTAAACCACTCATTAATTAATTAAATGATTAATTGATTAATTATTAACTACTTGTTGATTTTTGTTTAGGTGATGGATTGAGACCAGATAAATTATATCAACTATATCCAATTGAAAATGATGATCATCCAGTATCAACAGTAATGGAATCAAAGGCGCCATACTTAAGAAACATAATATTGAATGAAGGTGTATGGGGTATAAGTCACACGCGAGTACCAACAGAATCAAGACCTGGTCATGTAGCAATTATTGCAGGATTTTATGAAGATGTTAGCGCAGTAACAAAAGGTATAACATACAATATATGTGTGTGTCATATATGATATAATTAAATTTAAATCATTATTCTATTAGGTTGGAAAACAAATCCCGTTGAATTTGATTCTACATTTAATCAAAGTAGACATACATGGTCATTTGGTAGTCCTGATATTTTACCAATGTTTGCCGAAGGAGCATCTGACCCAAATCGTATCGATACATTTATGTATGAACACGAAGATGAAAATTTTGCTCAAGGTAATTTTAAATTTATAGTCAATAGTTATTTATTTAGTAATTATTTATTACATAATAAGGATTAATTTATTAGTTTATTTTTTTAAATTTAATTAGATGCGTCTGATTTAGACATTTGGGTATTTAATCAATTTGCGCAACTATTAGCAAACTCAACATCAGATCCAAAATTGAATAAACAACTGCATGAAAATCAAATAATAATATTTCTTCATTTACTTGGCCTAGATACAAATGGTCACGCATATGGACCACACTCAAAAGAATACATCAATAATATAAAACTTGTTGATGAAGGTATTAAGAATGTCGTTAAATTGATTGACAATTATTACAACCATGATGGCGGGACTGCATATATATTTACTGCTGATCATGGAATGAGTAATAGAGGTAATCATGGAGATGGGCATCCGGACAATACACGTACACCAATAATTGCATGGGGAGCTGGAATTAATAAACCCGTTAAGGTTGAAGTGAAGGGGGAGGGGAAAGAGGAAGAGAATTTGGTGTTAGTGAAAAGTGACCATGATGAATTTTCTTACCCATGGAATTTAAATCATGTTAAAAGATATGATGTGTTGCAAGCTGATCTCGCACCTCTTATGGTATTTTTTACCTTATTCATAAATCTATTTTTGAATTGCAATATGTGGTTTTATTTATCTTATTAATTTTATTTTTATTAGTGTTCATTGATTGGAATAAATTATCCAGTGAATTCTGTTGGTGAGCTGCCATTACACTATCTTGATAATACTCCATTATTCAAAGCAAAAAGTATTTTTGTTAATGCCAAACAAATACTTGAACAATATCAAGTCAAATACGGTATGATAAATAATTAATATTATCTAAAAGAAAAAATTTTATCAGATTTTTGCTAATTAAAATTTTATTTATCATGCTTATTAAAAAAAAAATATAATTCCTCTAGAATTAAAAAAAAAGACAGAAATAATGTTTAAACCGTTTAAACCATTAAGTAATGATACTCACAATCCGGAAGTATTAATTAGAAATATCGAGGATCTGATTATTAATAAGAATTATGAAGAAGCAGAAAGATTATGTAAAGAATTGATTTATTTGTCATTGGAAGGATTAAGATATCTTCAAACGTAATTGTTTCTTCTTCTTCTTCTAACAATTATTCTTTTTCATAACTATTAATTATTCTGCAATATTCGTTTGCAGGTATGATTGGTTGATGCTAAGATCAATAGTAACAGGTGGATTTATTGGGTGGATTTTGTACAGTTTAAAATTCACTTTGAAAGAATATTCATATAATGATAATAATGAAATAAAGTTAAATTATAAATATAATTTATATGTAAGTGATCATCCTCATCAGCATCATTATTATTAGAATTCTATTTTATTAATCCATTAATTCATTATAATTAATTTAATCATTTATATAATTATATTAAAATATAGATTAATTTTACATTGTTAATATTTTCACTAATATTAATAATTATTCTTTATATACAAGATTCGCCTACAACTTATTATTTGTACACTTTTTTCCTAATATATTTTTGGAACAAAGTGTTGAATGATTTTAAAATATTCACAAGTTATTTCAAATCTAATGATAATAACAATAATGGAACAATTGTTAGTTATATTGTTGGTTATATATTAGTGCTAGAAATTCTGGTAAATATGTTGTTTAATTCATTTAATTTATTAAGATTTTTATAAAATTAATCATTATTACATATTACAATTGTTAGGTTTATAGTTATTTTGAAAGAAGTGCTCTAAGTGGATGTTTTATATTATTGTCATCTTGGCCATTAATTATTTCATCCGAGATTAAATCTAAAAATAAATCATTATTTATAATGTGGTCAATTTCTTGCATAATCTCAAGTATATTTACTTTATTGCCTGTTGAGAAGGGAGAGAATATTTTGTTGGTGTAAGTTGTTTGATTGTTTAATTTAATTTAATCTGGATAACTTCATATTATTAACGAAATAATTAATTAAAATTAGGATTATTGGAGGATTGTTAATTGTAATGTTGGGAATTTATTTGTTATTATTATCTAACAACAACAACAACATCATTAGTAGTAGAATAATTGATAGTGATAATAAGTTTATGGTTCAATTTCAGGTAAATGGAAAGAAAATATTTTAATTACAAGTATTATTTGTATTATTAATATATATTCATTATTATAGATCTTCTTGGTATTATTAAGTATTATAATTGTATATGACACTTCAAATAAGTTAAAAGAAAAAATTGGCTTGCCACTATTAAACCAAATAACATCTTGGATAATTTTAGGTAAAAACACATTAAATTGCATTCATCTAATCAATATAATCAATATAATTTAAAATTTATGTTTATATTTCAGTCATTTCAACATTAACACCATTTGTTTATGGATTAAATCAGCAACAATATTATTTAAAGCAACTATTAACAATATTTTTATCATTTTCACCATTATTTGTCATACTAAGCATTTCATATGAAGTTCTATTCTATTATTTCTTATCCATTACTTTAGTGTTATGGTTAGAAATAGAAAAATGTCTATTCAACCATAATAATAATAGTAGTAATATTATCAGAAATACAGATATTAAAATTACCAGTAAGAGATCCTACAGAGAATTAAGTTTGAATGATACTAGAATTACATTAATTTTCTTATTTTTTATTAAGATAGCATTCTTTGGCACAGGAAATGTTGCATCCTTATCATCATTTTCATTATCAAGTGTCTATAGACTAACTACCATCTTTGATCCATTTCTTATGGGTGCTTTACTACTGCTAAAAATATTGATTCCATTTTTCATAGTTTCTTCGGTATTTAGTGTCATCAACAAATCATTAAATCTGCCAGCATTCAGCCTCTTCCTATTGGTCTTGTCAACCTGTGATATTATGACTCTGAACTTTTTCTATTTGGTCAAGGATTATGGAAGTTGGTTAGAGATTGGTACTACAATCAGCCATTTTGTTATTAGTAATTTGTTTAGTTTGTTTATGATAATATTATTTGGTCTAAGTGAAATATTAGTTGGAAAAGTCAGAATTGATGACAGTGATGTTGATGATGTTGTTGATGATTTAGTAGATTTAGCGTCGAGAAGAAAAAAAGATAAATAAGTTATTTATCTTTAATTCAATTGATATAATTATAGATTTATATAACATATATTTATTTGTTTTTAAAATTTTAATATATATTTCTACCATAAAATCAAATGATGGTAATACGAATCATGTTGGATTTAAATATCATCTTGATTTTTTTAATAAAAATTTAAAAAATAAGATTCCAAGCAATTATTTTTTTTTATATATAAAAATGGAATTTTCTTTGATGGATACTTATCGTTGCACCTGTAAAACTTTTAAAGTGTCATGAATAATGGTGCCAGGGGTATTTCTAAACAGCCTAAAACTTGTAATAATAATTGTCGTCAAATATTTGTCAAAAAACGAAAAAGTTCTGTGGAAATCAACCTAGCGACTTTGATATTGTTTTTTTGAGTGAAGTAGTTTAGAAGATGTATCATCAATAATCAAGAATTACATTTACATTGCCGAATAGGCGATATTAGTCACGAAAATTCACCAACCACGGAACTCACAAAGAAGATTGTTGAGTCAATCGAAGTTGCCGATAAACACAACTGGAATTATAATAACTGTACATATATGCAAGGTTACAACCACAACCACATATTGGTTTTTCTGTTCCAAAGAGACATCTTAGCCGCGTAAACATCCGGATCCATCGAAGCGACGAGACGTTCTATCTATGGAGAGATTTTATTGCGATGGTGTTATATTGATGAGACTTCACGGATATATGAAGTAAACTTTCACCTTTGAAATTCGTCAAAAAATGACGATATCAAAAATTTCCAGTCATGTGATGTTGATGTTCTAAATATCAACAACTTTAATTAATTTATCAATGGAATATTTCTGAGATTTATATCTTTTTGCTGCATATAAAAGCTTTTGGGCATGTTAATCAATTTCTATATATAAATCTCCAAGACCTGTGAAGAATTTTTTCAAGCGAAACAGAATCTAATGCCAGTGAAGCAGTTTTTTCTAATAATAAATAATTTTTGACGTGATAAATTTTACAGCTACACGAGACCGAATTTCGAATATTAATATTTCATGATATATAAAATGGTCTAGCTTTGAAGCCTTATAACTCAAAACTTTTATAATCATTTATTAAAAAGTGCAATTAAACACAATGCGCAAAAACTATATAAACCCCTGGATAAACTTAATTGGGATCTCAATTAGAAGTTCCAGTGACATCTTTCATCCATGGACTAATTTTTTTGGGAAACATACATGCAGCCCAAATTGATTTGTAAATGTCATAATAATATTACGGCATCTGAGTGATAGCCTTAATTTAATATTAATTAAAAGCTGTAATGTCATAATGTCATAATTAGGTCGTAATGTAATAACCAATGCGTTCAAACTTAAAAAAAAAAGTTATTATAACTTCCAAAATATGTATGGCCTGTAAAAGATGTTCATTTCGTAAAACTTAAATATTAATATCAAAGATATTTAATATTTACGCTCACCAACCTTTCTGTTCATTGTAAGTTGACATCTACAAGATGGTAACTAAAAGAACAGTTGTTGGTACTTCGATCGATCAATGTCAGATATCACATTTACCCACAAGTCAAGAAGAACTTTCTCGCAGTACAGTTGGAAAGTTCATCTGGAACTTTATTTTGGACTGCTGTTTTAAAATCGTATCCCGGATTCTTTGAGGAGAAGCATCAATATACGCCTCCAAATCAGGTATCTAAATATCAGGATTGGTATCATGTGCAGAGGATAGTTCCTTTGCAAGCTCCTCGTTGATTTCTAATGTCAATAATAACAAAAATTATCATCACTAATTGATTACACAAGCAAAGCTCCCAGAAGAATACATACATGTCTTTATGCAAGATATGCAAGAAGAAGTTTTTTTTCCTATTACAGAATTATCAGAAAGCAATTTTGTTGTTAGTCATCAGGAAAATGGGTACAAATATTATACGTATATAATACACAATTGCAGGGATTAAGCATATAATATGTGTACAAATCGCGTATTTTTTTATGTATGCAAATTGTACATATATTATATGCTTAATCCCTGCAATTGCATATTATATACGCATAATATTTGTACCCATTTTCCTGATGACTACATTGTCCATTAAAGAAGAAAGAATTATTTTAAAAAGTTTATAATAATAATTTAAATGGATAAGTATCCGGATCCAAGCTCTATTTGCAATAGAGGAAGTAAGTCTTACTATTAAAAAGCTAAGAATGTGAAGGTTAGCTTTGGAGAGATATCCGAGAATTAAGAGAAGAAACAAAAATCGAAAGAAAAATTAACAGACCTAGAATATGTACTAAAACATGAATACAAAAGAATAACTTGTAAAACCAAGCTATAAAGCATATATATATGTAACACAGCACACAAAGAAGAATAGATCATTAGGAAATATAAAATCTTGTAGTATACTTGGGGAAAGAAGTGGGGTAATCGAAAGATTAAGCTCAGAAATAATCATAGGATTGCCAAAATCCAACTATAAATATCTGACCACCTGATGATCATTTTAATAATCGGAAATTTTACGTTATTTTATTAATATTAATCAAACTATACTTGTCGTCGGAATTCCATAATTACAGCAAATTCAGCATTACGTATAAGCCGTAAATGATTTTCGGCATGAGATCTCAAAGTCATAAAAGTCGTAAACCGTAATGCCGTAATGCCGCAAATGCCTTAAATACCGTAAATGCCGTAAATGCCGTAAATGCCGTAAATGCTGTAAATGCTGTACACAGTGAGTCTCAATTTAACGGATATTTTTTTCCAGAAAATTTATCCGTTAAATCGAGAGATCCGCTAAATCGAAACTTATGATCAAATC